ATTTTATAATCTGTATAGTACCTAATAATATTACCCAAATTTATAGAGGAAAGGAATCACTGGGGAGAAAGGATGGATAGAATGTCATCGGAAGAGGCCAAGCACAGTGGCTTACACCTGTAATCCCAGCACTTTGGGAGGCTGAGACAGGAGGATTGCTTGAGGCCAGGAGTTTGAGACTAGCCTTGGCTGCACAGCAAGACCTTGTATGTAATAAAAATTTAAAAAATTAGTTGGGTGTGGTGGTGCACTCTGTAGTCCCAACAACTTGAGAGGCTGAGGCAGTTTGACGTTGCATTGAGCTATGTTCATGCCATTATACTTCATCCGGCCTGGGCAACAGGACAAGACTGCTTCTTAAAAAAAGAAAAAAAAATCAATGGAAGGAAAGATTTTTCAGAAAGAGTTCATCAGGCAGCAATTCCTCTAAGCTTTGACCTCCATCTTCATCTTCTACCTTTTTTGTGTATCTTCAGTGCTGGGCATTGTATTAAATAGGTTTTAGTTGACTGGTGTGGCATGCATTTATTATTCATATCTTTTGTTTCTCATATCAGTTAGGGATTGGATTCTACCACTAGTAACTGACTGCAGTGGCTTAAGAAAATTAGAGGTTTGTTTTCCCATGTAAAAGAAGTTCAGGCCAGGTACGGTGGCTCACGCCTGTAATCCCAGCACTTTGGGAGGCTGAAGCGAGCAGATCACGAGGTCGAGACCAGCCTGGCCAATATGATGAAACCCCATCTCTACTAAAAATATAAAAAGTTAGCCGGGTGTGGTGGCACGCGCCTGTAGTCCTAGCAACTCGGGATGCTAAGGCAGGATAATTGCTTGAACCTGGGAGGTGGAGGTTGCAGTAAGCTGAGATCATGCCACTGCACTTCAGCCTGGGTGACAGAATGAGACCCCTCCACAAAAAAAAAAAAAAAAAAAAAAAAAAGAAGTTCAGAGGTAGGTTGCTCAGGGTTCGTATGCAAACTACAGAAGGCATCAGGGATCCAGGCTACATCTACTTCTACATTCCATCTTTCTAAGTACCTGGCTTCCATGTTTAAATTGCCTCTGTGATGGCAGAGAACTGCTGGAGCTTCAGCTATCAGGTCCTAGTCTAAGCAAGGAAGAAGTGGGAGAGCAAGGACAAAAGGCAAAAGAGGCCTGTGGGAGTTATCTGTCCCCTCTTTATTTATTTGACAGAATTCCACTCTGTCTACCAGGCTAGAGTGCAGTGGTGCAATCATGACTCACTGGCAGCCTTGCCCTCCCTGGCTCAAGCAATTCTTCCACCTTGGCCTTCCAAGTAGCTGGGATTACAGGCACACACTACCATGCCCAGCTAATTTTTTACTCCTTTATAGAAACGGCATCTCCCTATGTTGTCCAGCCTGGTCTTGGACTCCTGGGCTCAAGTGATCTTCCTGTCTTGGCCTCTCAAAGTGCTGGGATTACAGGCATGGGCCACCACACCTGGTTTGTCCTCTTCGTCCCCTTTTACTTTGTTTCTTTCTTTCTTTTTTTTTTTTTTTGAGACAAAGTCTCTCACTCTGTCACTCAGACTGGAGGGCTGTGGTGCGATCTCAGCTCACTGCAACCTATGTCTCCCGGGTTCAAGCGATTCTCATGCTCCAGCCTCCTGAGTAGCTTAGATTACAGGTATGTGCCACCACATCTGGCTAATTTTTGTATTTTTAGTAGAGATGGGGGTTTCACCATGTTGACCAAGCTGGTCTTGAGCTCCTGACCTCAAGTGATTCACCCGCCTTGGCCTTTCAAAGTGCTCGGATTACAGATGTGAGCCACTGCGCCCAGCCTGTCCCCTTTTTAGAAACATTACCAAAAGTCTCATGCAAAAACTTTTGCTTATAACTCATTGGCCAGAACTTAGTCACATGGCCATATCTACTCCTAATGAAGATAGCAAGTTGTATTTTTTAAATGCAATTTTTTAATGCCCCTGACTTTCAATGCTAAGTGGAAAGGGAGAATGGATACTAGGTGGGCAACTAGCACTTCCTGCCACAGTTCCTCTTGAATTTTCTGCACATGGTGTTCCATGAATCCCTAGCCCAGTGCTTGATGTTAAGTTGTCCTTGGAATGAATAAACAAATGAAGAAAGCATTTTAGATAAATCAAGCAGTTCACACAATGACCTTTTTTTAAAAAAAAAAATTGACTTTGTTTCTAGAGCAGTTTTAGGTTTACAGAAAATTTGAACAGAATGTATAGAGAGCTCCCACATACCTCCCCTCACTACATACAATTTCATATATTATTGACATCTTGCATGAGTATTGTACCTTTGCTACAAAATTATACTGACACATTATTAGCCAAAGTATATAATTTACATTAGAGTTCACTCTTCTTGTTGCACAGTTCCATAGGTTTTCACAAACGCATAATGCATGTATCCACCATTGCAGTATCACACAGAATAGTTTCACTGCCCTAAAAATCCCCTTGCTCCAGCTATTCTGCCCTTCCTCCTCCCCTGGAATCTCTGGCAACCATTGATCTTTTTACCATCTCTAGAGTTCTGCCTTTTCCAGAATGTCATATTGTTGGATGTAGCCATTTCAGACTGACCTCTTTCACTTAGCAGTATACATTTAAGGTTACTCCATGTTTTTGTGTGTGTGTGTGGCTTGGTATCTTCTTCCTTTTTAGTTCTGAATAGTATTCCATTGTAAGGATTACCAGTTTGGTTATTCTTTTACCTACGGAAAGACATCTTGATTGTTTCCAGCTTAGAAATAAACCTGCTATCAACATTCATGTGCAAGTTTATGTGTGGTCCTAAGTTTTTAACTCATTTGGGTAAATAACCAAGGAGGTGACTGCTGGATTGCATGCTGAGATGATCTATCTTTACCTGTATAAGAAACTGCCAAACTGTCTTCAGAAGTGGCTGTACCATCTTCCATTCCCAACAGCAATGAATGAGAGTTCCTGTTACTCCACATCCTTGGCAGAATTTGGGGCTGACAGTGTTTTCGGGAGGCTGAGGTGGGTGGAGTCAAGGTCCACAAGGTCAGAAGTTCAAGACTAGCCTGGTCAAGATGGTGAAACTCCGTCTCTACTAAAAATACAAAAATTAGTCGGGTTCGGTGGTAGGCGCCTGTAATTCCAGCTACTTGGGAGGCTGAGGCAGGGAATTGCTTGAACCTGGGAGGTGGAGGTTGCAGCAAGCCAAGATCGCGCCACTGCACTCCAGCCTGGGAGATAGAGTAGACTGGGTCTCAAAAAAAAGAAAAAGAAAAAGACAGAAAGAAACAGAACATTACCAGCACTTTGTGAGCCTCCTCATGTTCCCTTCCAGTTATTACTCCCCTAAGATTAGTCACTATATACAATGACTTCTAACAGCAGGGACATTTGGGTAGTTTCCAGTTTGGGGCTGATAAAAGTATGCGTATGAGCTTTTTTTTTTACATGTCCTTTTGGTGAAATATGCAGACATTTCAGTTGCATATATATAATTAGGAGTGAAATTATTTTTTTTGTGTTTGTTTTTGAGACAGGGTCTAGCTCTGTCACCTATGCTGGACTGCAGTAGTGTGATCACAACTCACTGCAGCCTCAAACTCCAGGGTTCAAGAGATCCTCTTGCCTTAGCCTCTGGAGTAGCTGAGACTAGAGGTGCATACCATTGTGCCCAGCACTTTGGGAGGCCGAGGTGGGAGGATTGCTTGAGGCCAGGAGTACAAGACCAGCCTGGGCAACACAGCTAAACTTCCTAAAGTGCTGAGATTACACCTTGAGGCACTGTGCCCCACCTAGGGGTGAAATTGTTGAAACAAAGGTTTTTCATATATTCAGCTTCAGTTGATACCACTAGTTTAACAAAGTGATTGCATCAATTTTTGTTCCCTTCAGGAGCATATCAGAGTTGTGGTTGCTCCACAATCTTGCCAGGTATATGGTGGTATCTCATTGTGGTTTTAACTTGCATTTCTTCTTTATCTTTTATTTTTTAAGTGTTTCGAGATGGAGCAGATAAAATTTCAGGGAGTGAATCCTCTGTGACAGCTGCAAATTTCTCCCATGGGTACTTATTCAATGGAGTTTAAAACATTTGGCCCTGAATTGGAGACAATATAATATACAGAATGAGGGCTACATGCTTTGCAATCAGACACATGAGGTTTGATTTCTAACTCCAGTGCTTACTCACTGAATTACCTTGAGGAAGTTATTTAACCTTTTTCTATTTTATGTAAAACGGCACTAATAATAGTACTGCATCATAGGGTTGTTAGAGGGATTAAAAGAGAAAAAGTAAGTAAAATGCATTGCAAAGCTCCTAGGAACAGGTGAACACAAAATCAACAAATGGCAACTATTATTATACCTTATATTGGTTATTTATGCACATCTAATTTATCCTTCTGTTTTACACATTACACGAGAAAGGAACAGCATGCATGTGGCACACATTAACTGCCTCACATATAATTGCTAATAAAGACTGATAGGATGAACAATTTAATTTATAAACAGAAGGTACTGTGGTTATTACTATAAAAGATGGTGTAGGTTGGGCATTTTGTAATCCCAGCACTTTGGGAGGCCGAGTGGTGAGAATCGCTTGAGACCAGGAGTTCAAGGCCAGCCTGGGCAATGTAGGGAGGGAGACAGTCTCTAAGGAAAAAAAAAAAAAAAAAAAGAGGAGGACATAAAATTATTATAGTGACTATAGGATAACGAGTACTGGTAATGAGGACTACATTACTTAAATACAGTGTTTTTCCTTCTATTTACTGTCATCGTTGAACAGAAAAACAGTACGCAGGATACTAAAGAATGAAAAGTAGATGTCCCAGATAGCATTTGTGAGGATTCTAAAGGGTTCTCCCTTCAAAGCCAAAACCAGAACACAAAAATACCATCCCAGAAACAAAGGCGTCACTTTTCGGAAGACGACATTAAGCCCTTCCAATTTTAACAGATCCTTTGTTCAACAGAGGAGAGAGACTGGGTAGGCAACACTTGCCCCGGTAGCTTCCGTACAAGATGGCGTCGCCCGTTCGAACACCCCAACTGGGATTCCGCCCTCCAGGCCGGCCGTAGGAACGGAAGTGGTTACGGCCCTAGTGAATCCGGGTGGGTTCGCGCAGGCGGCCGCACAGGTTCCATCTCTTTAACGTGAGGCCGCGGCAGGTGTGCGGGCCAGTCCGAGACCGCAGGTAAGTGAGGCTTAGGGGCCGGCGAGGCCTCGCGCCGGGATTGTGCTCGGGGCAGAGGGGCTTCCAGTGCAGACCAAGAGGGGTCGTGGAGCGGGGCATATTACCGTGTGCGGGGGTGACATTGCGGGGACCCAGCTGTCCCGGAGCGAGTTGGCCCTGCCCCTCTCCCCGCCCCTCGACGTGACCCTCCTCACCCCCGTCGCCCACGCGGGGCGATTGACCACCCAGGTGCTCAAGGAGGGCCTCACCCCAGCCCTCGGCCTCCCACGCCCTCTTGGGCCTCTTTTTCCGACCCCTTTACCCTGTCTCTGGGAGTCCCTACCAGACCTTTCAGGCTGTGTGTCCCAATCAGCTAAAAAGGAGGCCCCGCCCGCGGCACCTGGTAGCTCCTCGGGCGCTGCGGGTTCGAGGCGGCCACAGCTGGTGTTTTCTTCCCTGGATACATGGGAGCTGCCACCCCCCGCTACCATTCCTGTCCTCCCGGACCACACCCTGCTCTGGGCCTGGTCGAGGGCCACCTCTTTCGCTTTTCACATCCCTGGGATGGATCAAAACTTAAGAAACTTGATCATTATTTATTACAAAATTGACACCTGCTCCTTAAAATACAAACAAGCATTCCTCGATAAGCTCTTGATATCCTTTTGATATGAATACAACATTCAGACTCCTCTATATACCCTCTCCTCAAAAACACAAAATTATACTTTTTTTTTTTTTTAGTTCTGTTACAAGGATAGAAGGAATTGCCGTGAAAGGTTTTTTAAATCATAGGAATTAGGACGTGGAGGTCGGGGCGCAGGGGGGAAGATGGATTAAATTTGGTCAAGTTGAGCTTGTTTTAAAAATGTGTTTTTTAAATATTCCAGTTATAGTCCGTGCATAAAGTCTTGTAACAAAATTATGTAAAAATGTTAAACAAGACAGATTCTTCTTAGCTTGCTGTGCTCCTTGGTGTTGAGGGTGGGGAGTGAGGAAGACAGATCCTCTTTGATTTTTTTTTTCCATCTCCACCTTTTCTTCTTTACCAGTCCCTTTCCCACAAAATAAGAACTGTTGTCAGTTTGGGTGTATTTTTCTTTGCATTTATTGACAGGTATGTGTACGTGTAAGATATATATTTGTAAGCTTTCATGTTAAACTTTTACAAATATGTATGTTTTATGCATTCTGCAACTTGACATTTTATGCTTAAAAATGGGTCTTGGAATTTTTTCTTTGTCAGTACCTAGAGATCTACCTATTCTTTCTGCTTGCTCTGTAAGTTCCATGCTTATGTAAGATTCCATAGATTGTTTCCAGTTTTTCAATGTTAGACACAGTGTGGCAGAGAACATCCTTCCACACGCCTCTGTGCCCATGTGAGCATTTCTCAAGGATGGGTACCTGCAGGTGGAATTGCTGAGTGGGCGAGTATGGACATATAGGAATGCCAAACTGCCACCCCCAGTGTATAAAATAATTTCCTCCATGCTTTTTTTGTTTTTTTGAGATAAGAGTCTTGCTCTGTTGCCCAGGCTGGAGTACAGTGATACGATCTTGGCTCACCGTAGCCTCCGCTTCCTGGGTTCAAGCAATTCTCCTGCCTCAGCTTCCCAAGTAGCTGAGATTACAGGTGCCTGCCACCATGCCCTGCTAATTTTTGTATTTTTAGTAGAGATGGAGTTTCACCCCGTGTTGGCCAGGCTAGTCTCAAACACCTGACCGCCAGTGATCCACTGGCCTTGGCTCACTGTAACCTCTGCCCCCCGGGCTCAAGCTATTCTCCTGCCTCAGCCTCCCAAGTAGCTGGGATTACAGGAGTGAGCCACGGTGCCTGCTCCCCCATGCTCTTTTGAACATTTAATGGTATGAATCTTTTCTATTTTTGCCAATCTGATGGATGGAAAAGTGATTTCTCATTGGTGTTTTAATTTGCATTCACCTAATCACTATTGAGATTGACCATGTTTTCTTGATTGATGGCCATTTGTATTTCCTCTTTTAAGAAACATCTCTATTGGATTTTCTTTTCCTTATTGACTTACAGTAGTATTTTATATGTTCTGGATTTTGATCTTTTGTTATTCTTATATATTTATAATATTTAGTCCTTATTGCTTTTTTAAAGTTGTTGCCTGTCTTTTAACTATATGGCATCTTTGTTGAAACAAGGTTTAAAATTTTAGGTTTTAATTTATCAGTTTGTTTTGTGTGTGTTTGTATTTTGTGGCTATCATTCCCAATCTGAGTGGTTGTTAAATGGGGGAGATTTTTGCTCTCAGGGTTATTTGGCAATGTCTGTAGACATTTTTTGTTTGTTCTACTAGGGTGGTGCTGCTATTGGTTATCTAGTGAGTAGAAGCCAGGGGTGCTGCTAAACATCCGACAGCGCATGGGAAAGCTTCCCACAACAAAGAACTTCACCAGCCAAAAATGTCAGTTATGTTGAGGTTGAAAAATCCTCCTCTACTCTTTTTTTTTTTTTTTTTCGAGAGGGAGTTTCGCTCTTGTTGCCCAGGCTGGAGTGCAATGGCATGGTCTCGGCTCACTGACACTTCTGCCTCCAGGGCTCAAGCAATTTTCTTGCCTCAGCCTTCTGAGTAGCTGGGATTACAGGCATGTGCCACCACACCCGGCTACTTTTTATATTTTTAGTAGAGATGGGGTTTCACAATGTTGACCAGGCTGGTCTCAAACTCTTGACCTCAGGTGATCTGCCTGCCTTGGCCTCCCAAAGTGCTGTGAGCCATTGTGCCTGGCCCCTCCTCTACTCTTAGAAAGAGCAGGGTTTTCTTCTAAAGCTCAGTTTTCTCCTCAAAGTTCTTGTGGGAATAGTGTGAGTTTTTCTTTAATTCCTCTGGAATTGTGTGTGTGTAATTGTTGTTTTCCAAACACTGTCACTTCGAGTAGTCAGTCCATTCTTGAGCCATTAATCTGAAATGTCACACTTATCATGTACTAATTTCTTTTTCTCTTTTTAATTTTTATATGTAGAGATAGAGATGAGGTCTTGCTATATTGCTTAGGCTAGCTTCAAACTCCCAGCCTCAGCAGACTCTCCCACCTCGGCCTTCCAAAGTGCTGGAATTACAGACATAAGCCACCTTGCCTGGCCTCATGTACTCATTTCTCATACAGGGTCTGTTTCTAGACTTACTTCTGTTCTATGGCTTACTTTTCTATTTTGCTGGACCAATACCACAACATCCTCTATTAAACTGTATGTTATATGTTGACATCTAATAGGGTAAATACTCCATCATAATTATTTTATTGGAAGTCATATACTATATCAGCTCATGTCCACTATTATTTAAAAAACAGTATTTTGGCTATTATTAGTTTCTTTTCCAGATTAATTTTAGAGTCAACTTGTCAATTTTTTTTTTCTTTTAAGAGGTGGAGTTTCATTCAGTCACCCAGCTGGAATGCAGTGGCAGCCCTGACCTTCTGGGCTCAACTGATCCTCTTGCCTCAGCCCCCCAAGTAGCTGGAACTGCAGGTATGTATCACCATGCCTGGCTAATTTTTGTATTTTTTATAGAGACGAGGTTTCACCATGTTGCCCAGGCTGGTCTTGAACTCCTGGGCTCAAGTGATCCACCCGCCTTGGACTTCCAAAATGCTGGGATTATAGGCATGAACCACTCCAGCCCAAAATCATTTTTTAATGGCGTTATTGAGATGTATTTCACATACCATACAGTTCATTATTCAATGTGTACAATTTGATGATTTTAGTATATTCATAGAGTTGTGCAACCATCACCATAATTAATTTTAGAGCATTTTTACCACCCAAGTCACTCCCTATCCCTGACTCCCCTAAGACCCCAGCCCTAGGCAACCACTAATATTTCTGTCTTTCTAGATCTTGGTGTTTTGTATAAATGGAATCATACAGTGTGTGGTTCTTTTTTTTTTTTTTTTTTTTTTTTTTGAGACAGAGTTTTGCTCTTGTTGCCCAGGCTGGAGTGCAGTGGCGCGATCTCAGCTCACTGCAACCTCCACTTCCCGGGTTCAAGCTGTTCTCCTGTCTCAGCCTCCCAAGAAGCTGGGATTACAGGCATGCGCGTCTACGCCCAGCCAATTTTGTATTTTTAGTAGAGACAGGTTTTCTCCATGTTAGGCTGGTCTAGAACTCCCGACCTCAGGTGATCCACCCGTCTCGGCCTCCCAAAGTGCTGGGGTTACAGGCATGAGCCACCGCGCCCAGCCATCAATGTGTGGTATTTTGTGACTGGCTGCTTTAACTTCAGATAATGTATTCAAGATTCATCCATGCTACAGCTTGTATCAGTTCTTCGTTCCTTTATATTACTGAATGAAATTTCATCCTATGGTATGTTTGTTTTGTAGGGCTGTGGTCAAAGTAACACAAACTGGTGGCTTAAAACAACAGAGATTTATTCTCTTGCAGTTAAGGAAGCTAAAGTTCAAAATTAGGGTATCAGCAGGGTCATGCTCTTCCTGAAGGCTGCAGGGGGGAATCCCACCTTGCCTCTTCCTAGTTTCTGGTGGTTGTAGGCAATCCTTGGCATTTCTCAGTTGGCAGCTGCATAATTCCAGTCTCTGCCTCTGTCTTCAAATAGTCACCTTCCCTGTGTGTCTGTCTCCACGTTGGATTCTCTTGGAGTACGTCTGTTTCTTTTCCTCCTCCTGTAAGGACACCAGTCATAGCGGATTAAGGGCCCACCCTACTTCAGTATGACCTTGTTTTAACTTGATTACATCTGCGAAAAACCTGTTTGCAAATAAGGTCACATTCACAGGTACTGGGGGTTAGACCTTCAACATAACTTTTTGGGGAATACAGTTCAACTCATAACATATGGATATACTGTATTTTAATGATCTGTTCATCAACTAATTGACATTTGGGTTATTTCCACTTCTGGGCAATTATGAATAGCTATGAACTTTAGTGTGGGCATGTGTTTTCATTTCCCTTGGGTAGATACCTCCCAGTGGAATTGCTAGGTCATATAACTGCCAGACTGTTTTCCAGAGAAGCTGTA